ATACCTACTTGGTTCTTCTTTGGTTGTAGGCTCCAAAAAGCTTTGTATAAGAATAAAGGGTTAAGAAGTTTGGTCTTACTAAATATTGAGAGTGTGGATCAAAAGTACAAACACCAAATAAGAAATGGTAACAAGAGTAAAACTATGGAGTAAATTCAAAGACTTCTAAGAGACTCTTTTGTGTGAGTGACTTCAGATAATTTTTTTTAAAGCCAGACAAAAATGGGTAACTTTCTAGAGAATAGTATTTTCTGCACCTACTAGGACACATAGAAACATCTAATTGGAGAAATTACGATTAACAAAGCAGAGGAAATAAAATGCCAGAATACTGGAGTCAGCTGGTTTCTCAGGGGAGCATCATCAAATATTTAAGAAAGCTATCACTCCACTGGTATTTAGATGCTTCCAGAGCACATAAAGGAAGAAAGCTTCCATAGTTTCAAAATAATCAAATAAGTGTAGCATTGATATCAAAGACCCAGAAGGGACCAAAATAAGTACCAGTATTAGTTATGAATATTGATGCAGAAATTCTAAATAAAGTATTGGTCAGTGGAATTCTCCACTGATTAAAAGAACAATATATTGTAACACATGAAGTTCATGGTGGGAATACAGGGATGGGTTGGTGTTTGGAAACCTCTAATGAGAACGCAGATTAATCGGTCAGATAGGAAAAACAGTATGTATATACTATGAAACATTTTGTGGATTTGAGCATTCATTTTCTAAAAATACTCTTAAAAATGTAGAGCGTGTAGATACTGATTTCACAAGATAGTGTCTATGGCACTGGAAAGCCAAAGTTTATCACCTTAAAAGCAAGAATAAAACAAGCATTCAACTCTCATCAGTTTTATAACATTTTTTTTTTTTTTTAATCTGGAGGTGTCAGCCAAGAAAATCAGCCCTAAGAGGGAGACGAGGAATGTGAGACTCAGAGGAGGATGTGCAGTTAGCACCGCCTCTGCTCTTTGTTGTTTTCTTGTTTTCTTAGTTTTAAATTCACAACTTCTCTTCCTCATCCCTTTTTTTCCTCTTGAGCTAAAGTTTTTTTTTTTTTTTCCCCTTTTGGAGAAAGATTAAATTATTAGTTTTAAAAGAGGGTCTCAGCCATTAGAATACTTTCATTTTAAAAAATGTTTACACAATATTATGTGTAATTCTTGGCTGTCATTGTGACCAGTGGGTCTTCTTTTAAAACCAAATCCCCTCCTCTCTGTGTTTTGAATAAAGGAGGGGGATAAGGGTGTGTGTGCACACACGAGCATGCATGTAGTGTCTGTATGCAAACACGTGCCACTTTTGGATGAGTACTATGATTGAACACAGCAGAGATTCAAACTACCGTGTAGTTCTTTTCGGTGCTTTTTAGTGCTCATAATAGAAGGCAAGGAAAGGATTTTACAGCTTTGATTTATTTACTGTCTTTCAGATAACCTCGGTTGTATATGGCAGTTTACCTCTACATGTCACTGAGACGTTATTTAAAACAAATGATTGCATCGAGACTAGTCAGGCTTTATTTACTGAAGCTTATTTAAGGAAGTTTCTACTGTACATGTACCAAAGTGAGAATATTGGCACCAGATTTCCTTATAAACGTTGAACATTTATTTTCAAGATGTGAATGTAAATAACGGTACTTAGAGCTTTCCTATTAGACTTAGTTACATCTAGAAATTATTTTTATTTTAAATGACTTCTGTTTAGAAACGTAATTATAGAAAACAAGCCCTTATGAGCACTATTTAATGGAGCATAAATGTATATATGTTTTGAATTGTCCTTTTTTCTTAATAGTGTATTGTAAACATTTTAACACATGCCATTCTTTTTTAAATAATTTTTTAAAAAATAATTGCATATATTTTTATTGTATGAAATTAATGGAACCAAAGTTTCCTCTTCTCTCCAGACAGTTTTTTTTAACCCCTAGCTTCTTTCTATTTTCAGTTTCTTCCATTTTTGCTCTCTTATTCTTCAAGGGAGAAAAACGAAGTACACTTTTATTATGCAGTTGAATCTGCAAAAGTAAATGTCTAATTAAAATAAATGAGATTTTGCAGATTTGGTGATCTGTTGTATTTAGTAAGGGATGTTGTTTGTCTTATTGCTAAAAGACATCTTGGATTATTTATCTGTCTTTTGGATTCCAGAATGTTACCCCTTAGGGGAACGTGCCAAACTATATATCAGCGTGAACTTTTCTGGGGCATTACAGAGTGAATTAATATAAAGTGATGCTATGTTATCTAATATAAAAGCCACTAGTCACAGGAATTTTTAAATGAAAATTAAAAGTTCAGTTCCTCAGGTCCACAGGCCGTGCTCAGTCTAGGAACCCCATGGCTAGTGGCTCAGCTACTGGGCAGGCAGGGCAGGTCCAGCCTCAGAATGTTTCTTTGTGAACCTTGGGGTCACGTCTGTACATTTTACCTGTTTGTGTATTAGAGTTTTTACATCAGTTTGGTTTTAAAGTTTTGTTCCTAGTATACTGGGCTTCCCTAGGGGCTCAGTGGTAAAGAATCTGCCTGCAATGGAGGAGATGTCGGTTTGATCCCTGTAGAAGAAAATGGCAACTCATTCCAGTATTCTTATTTGGGAAATCCCATGGACAGAGAAGCCTGGTAGGCTTCAATCCATGGGGTTGCAAAGAGTGACCACGACTGAGCTACTGAATAACAGCAATTATAAATACTAGTAAAAAAACAGAATTTCACTATGTTTGGAGGCAGTGAACAGTTCAAAATTATTTAGAGTAATTTTTACTTTGCTAACCAACTTAATTTTTAAAATTATGTATTGAAGTAGCATACGTTTGAACAGGGAGTTTCCAGTATCTGGAAATTCTAGAAGAACATTAAAAATATTGCTAGTATAATACAGAGTCCAGGGATGGGCAGGGAAGGATGGACTCTTAACACCCTTGGGTGAGGATCTAGAGAGGATGGTGTAGGAAGAGGAAGCTGTTTTTAAAGACACTCAGAAGAAGCAGATTAAATGGAGAAATAAAAGCATTTATTTGGGGCATGTAATTTTAGGTTATAGTTATAGTGGTTTGATAAATTTAGAAAAATGAGCAACGAGAAGAAAGGAAAAACCAAGGGGAGGGGTGGATGGGAACTGTCAGTCATCCTGTTGTCATTGGCAATAGCCATTGTGATTTGTCACCTCTCTATCCAGCCTCCTTTCTGTCATATTCACTCAGCTGTGAATGAGGTCAGTGGAGAATGTAGATGAGATGTTAGTCTGAGACAGACTAGTGGAGTGATTAAGTGCTCTGATGCTGAGCCAGATGGCCTGAGTTTTAAATCCCAGCTCCTCCATTTACTATTTGTGGGACCACAGCCAGTCATTTAACTGTGTATCTGTTTATCTCTAAGACGGTGCTGTCTACCTTTCAGTGTTCTTGTGAGGGTCATGAAATTAAAATCTACTAAACGCATTGAAGCCCGTATTATTAAGAGTACTAATGACTAGTCTGAGGTATTACAGGCATACAGTGAAAGCCTGATTTGGATAAGCCTTGGGGGTTTATTGTTGTAGGAAGGCAGGATGCTTGAACAGGTAACTGCAATACAGTTAGATGAGTTTTGTGAGCAAGGAAATTTAGGATTCTATGATAGTATCTGTTTAAGTGACCTAATTCTTGATAATTATTTAAGCAAAATTAGTTTAACTTTTAGGATGGTTGGTTTTTATTTTAAAGTATACTTTAATAGTTTCTTCAAATAAACTATTTCTTGTTTCATAGCTTGTATTCTCTAAAATTTATTTATTTTCATAATATGATAAAAGTTGCAAGTTTCCAAGATGTTAAATAAGAACGTTACCTTGATCATTCTGGTAATATCATAAGTGTCAAAACTCTTTCCCTGATGCTCTGCATTGCGGTTGCCAACAAGGTAAGAGAATCCTCTCTTAGCAATAGCATCTGGCTAATCAAAATAAAATCTGTCTTCCAGACTTTTTACGAGAGTTTGCTTAGTTTCAAGCATAATTAAGAAAGTGTTTTACTTGATACCTATTAAAAACAGGAAATCATGAGATACAACCATTTTTCATATATAAGTGGGGGAGCAATCATCTCAAATGTAAATACAAAGAGGCTAAAGTATATTTTCAAGCATAAAAATGCAAAGGCACTCATGTAAGATCTGAAATAGATTACACTTAGGTGCCGAGAGTTACACATTTGTCAAAGCACCTTTCGTTTCTTAACATCTTTCTGCTTGTGTTTTTTAATTTATTTTTTATTAACTATCATTCTAGATTTTTTTAAAGGCACTCAGTTTGTCTTATAACGCATGAAAATATATTCTTTTGTGTTCCTGGGGTAATGGTGATGGGAAATGAAGAATAAAATTATCCTGTATTAAGAGAATTTTACTGGTTTTCCAAAATGAAAAACTGAAGCTGAATAGTTATGAGAGATGTCTCTAGTTATGAGAAATCCCTTTGTTTTGTAGAAGTTTGAATGGGTGCAGGGAAAAAAAGAGTGAAGGAGCATTGTGCTGGGTGAGATGTCCTCCTGAAGGGCTGGCCCTTCGTCTGCATGTCGCCTGGTTCTTCGTTCTGGGCCGTTATTACACACCAACTGTCAGGATGTGGCTGCCAGTTTCTTGCTTTGCTTTTATCATAATTTATGTTTTTAGCAGGAATATAACCTACGACCACTGCTCAAAGTATTGAAGCAATTATGTTTTAGAAATTAAAGATTTTATAAAACTAATGGTTATTTGGGGGGAACAAAGATTTCATTTTCACATGAGTTCTGTGTCGCGATGATCCCACCCCCCAGTTTGACTTCATGTTACAAACATGGAAGTGTTGTACTAGATGAGTTATGCACACCTATTGTCATCTGTGGGTTTATAGAAACATGTTTGTCTCAAATGTTCAGTAGACCAGTTTCTATTGAAATGATCAGAATGTGTAAATGTCTCAGGTGGTTCGCTAGCAGGTGAACTTACATTCGTTTGCCTTTCTTCCAGATTCATGAGAAACTTCACTACTACGAGAAGCAGAACCCCGTGCCCATCCTCCAGGGCGCGGCAGCCTTGGCCGATGATGTAAGTGTCCCTTCCCAGCTCAGGGGGACTGGTCCTCCTCGGCCCCCTGGGGCAGGACTCATCCTAGTGCAGACAGATGCATGTGCTCTGGGACTGAAAACTGAAAGAAGATGCAGATGCCTCTACAAGGCCTGAGTTTACCACTGAGTTTACACTGACACTAGGCTGGTTTTCCTTCACTTTCCTATCTTAAAGATTTTGCATGGAGCTGCCCTCTGGTCCTGCTTTGGTAACTACAGGATAGAAATTTTAGGCTGTGCCTCTGTGGAGAGAGATGCTATCAGCTGTCAGTGTCTGAGAACGTCCCAGGCAAGAGAAATGCTTTGGAGAAATAGAGACAAATGAGATGGCTCTATTGCTGACAGTCCTGAAAACGACAGATGCTAGCATAGGAATGAGGCGGATGAAATGCATAAAAAGACAGGGTTGTTTTTAAAATGGATTATAAAGCATGGTAATGATTTATGGATGTGAGACCTTTCCAAATTACCTTCATAACCAAAAAATAAATTTGAGCTGCAGTTGGCATTGATGGAGTAGTTAATTTCCTGTAGCTATAATTTTATTTTAAATGTGGGACAGGGAACTAACTTGCTGTTTCTTACTGTTAACTTTCGGACTCAGATGAATTGAGCACAGACCTGGATAAACTGGAGGGGACACTTAAGCTGGACAAGAAGCACATGTGGTGTGGAAGCTGGTTTTAGTGACACCCTTCAGCCTGCTGTTTTTTAATGTTTTAAATGACTATGATAAAACAAACTATAGATTGGTTTAGTAAGAGATTAGAGCTATAAGTATAATAATTAAAAAAACAAAAACTAACCATCTTCAGAGGTTGATTTTCTTTGTTAGTACCGTGTATTCTAGTTTAGAAAATAAAGCTTGTATAGTGAATCTCCAAGTTGTGTATTTTCTATTTAGTTCCCCCATTTGTAGCTACAAAGATTACAAAGATGTTGCAATATACATGTTTTGTGAAGAAGCTTACCTCTGCGTTGCAGAACCTGAACACTTGATACTTGGGAAAACCAGTTTTAAAACATTTACTGTTGAGGGTTTGGGGAACTATTTATTTATAAAACAATGTAATTGAGGCCTGATCATGTTACAACATATTGCACTATTTTTCAAATAGAGATTTTTGTGTAAATACAATCTTAGCATTTTGTAATTCATTTCAGAAGTGTATTTAAATGTTTAAAAGTGCAAAAAGCCCTTTGTGTCTTTTTGTAAATTAAAAAGTTTGTAAAATTGTTACCTTGAAAAAGGAAAAGTACCTTTTGAAATATATTCAGTGAATATATCAATTTTATCTGGTTTTATTTTCTGTGTATAATTTATTATTACACCCCTCATTTAGAGAAAAGTCCTTTCCAGAGATAAGAACAATTTTTTAGCTTGCTGGAAACTATAGGGACAAATGGAAATTTGATGCAGTGTTTTGAGAAGGGTTTTTAAATGAAAATATATGTACATATTTTGCATTCTGTGCTGCATTTTTGTATTTTGAATGTTTTTTTTTTTCCTATTTGAATCTTGCTTTTCTTCTTATGAAAATGTTATGATCCTTCTTAGAGCCTAAGATTGCATAGATATTTTCATTAAAAATGCCCTCTTAATGAAGAATACCAGCTAGGGTCCAAGCTCTGCTCCTTTCTCTAGCTGGAAGCGGCCAATGGGAATTTATAATCTTGGTCAGAGAACAGTCAGGATTTGTAGGACCAGCATAGTTGTCAAGCTATTATAAGTCACTTTATGATTAACCTATTTTATATGTAACAGACTGTGTAGGTAAACATAATAAAAGTTTCAGATCATTTGCTCTTTTAGGGGCATTCTCGTTCTTTTTACCCCAGCTCTAAACAGCAAGCTACTGTGGGTTTTTGGAAACCCTGTAGATTTCACCACCTCATTCAGAAGTTCTTTTCTCTGTTTTTTTTTTTCCTTTTTTTCTCTTTACGGTGTCAACGCTTGATCCAGTCCTTTTTACAAGTGGTCCTTTGTCTGCATGCAAAGGACCATTTTGCAGATGAAGTGCTGGGGTTTGCCCTCATTGCAATAAATCAGAAAGGGATCTGGCTGATAGGATTTCTTGAGTTGTACTCAGCGAGAGCTGGGTCTGAAAGCAGGGCTACTAAGAGCCTCAAAAGAAGAGCAGTGATTGATAGTCTGTTTTCTTTCTTGCTGACTTGAGCTTAATCACTGGAAAGTAGCAAGATAGCTTCTCAGTTGTCACAGGTGGAGCACACCCTGTTCTCACTAACTGTTCTTCATGTTGATGTGATCTCCCATGCAGCTGGCGGAGGAGCTTCAGAACAAGCCATTAAACAGTGAGATCAGAGAGCTGTTGAAGCTACTGTCAAAACCCAATGTGAAGGTGAGGACGTGTGACACCTGTAATAAATATCTCCAAAAAGGGCCACTTTCTGGAACTTCAGATGAATTTTGTTTCAACCATCAATTTTCAAGTAAATGTGTTTTTGAATAGTGCGCAGTATTTTAATCACTTTAATCCCGTTAAGGAAGAAGAGTTGAGTTTTTGATGATGATGTTGTGACAATCTATAAAATACTTAAATCGGGAGGCTCATATGATTTGGAAAACAGAATGGAGCTTCAAGGTCATTTTTCTTTTAAATGAAGTTTAGAGTACAGGATACAGAACCTATTAAGTGATTTTGTGTAGGTTTGTTTTACTTGGCTAGTTAATGGTGTGCCAGTGTGTTTGACAACAATATCTATTTCTCTATGGGACCTTGTCAGCATTCTTCTTCCTCCTCCAGCTTCCTCTCCATTTTCTGCGCCCTCCTCTACCAATTTGTGTTTTAATGCATCCTGCTATTTTACAGAGCAAAGCAGTTTTCCAGTAAAATATTGGTAGATCCATCTTAATTCTCCCCACCATTTTTGGTACAAGTTTATCACTTATTTTTCCTCCAGCTGTGATTGGTCAACATAACCTATACATTTTGGACTTGATAACTAATGTACTTGTATGTGAAATATTGTTCAGGGGTCAGAATAACATATAGATAGGTAATTACATAATTAAAGTGATCAGGTATCTCATATTTCTGTTAAGCATTTCTAGACTGTTGAATGAAAATGTCCACCCAAATGCAAAAACTGATGATTTCTACCTTTTTTGAAAAATCTCCTTTGCAGCGGTGCTATATATGGTCTTAAACTGATATTCAAAGAAAGTATTAAATAATACATAAAGTGAGAACATGTATGGCCTATGATTTCTCAACCATATAAGCAAATATAAAGCATATGAATGTATATCTGTAAAGGGTAAATGAACTATGATCAGTGATGTGAGATGAATTGGCTGGTGCAGAGAAGCATTTATTTCTAGAAGAAGAAAGATCCTATTACTGTAGAATGGTTGCCTGATATTGAAGACAGAGTACACAGAAAGTGAAGAGCTTAGGGGAGATTCATGAATGCTTTGAAAAGTTCTTCACTGGGCCCTTCCATGTTCTGTACATGGAAAGTTGATATTAATCAGAACATAGGGAGAGTAGCCTTGAAGTGCTTGGTAAGCTCCTTTTTGAGAGTATTATCTTGGTTTGAATTTTAGAAACTAAAGAGGAATGTTTCTGACCCCCAGCAAACAAAACATGTTTTTGGTATTCCATTCAAGAGTGTTTGAAATGGAATAACTAGTAATTAGGATGGATGGAACTGGAGAAGGAAATGGCAACCCACTCCAGTACTCTTGCTTGGAGAATCCCATGGACCTAGGAGCCTGGTGCAGGCTACTGTCTGTCCATGGGGTCGCAAAGAGTCAGACACGACTGAGCGATTTCACTTCCCTTCACTTCACTGGATGGAAACTGGCATTTGGCTGGAGAGAGGGGTGTTGGATCTCAGTTGATTATGAGGTAATAGAAGATGTGTATATATTAGTGTCTGCCCCAGGTTCCTAGATAGTTTCCTGAGTGATGAGAGCACTAGGAGTGTCTGTTGTACTTACATATGTCTCTGACCCAGTTCCTGGAACAGGTCTCCTGAAAATCTTGTAACGTTCTTTTTTTTTTTAACCTTGTAACTTTCTAAGTGATAAGGGCAATAGGAACATCTCTTGTTCTAATGAGGTGACTCTGGGTTGGCTCCTACCTGGAGGCTGGTCACCAGCAAGACCACACCAGGATTAGAAGCTTAGAATTTTCACCCTTACTCTCTCACCAATTATGTTTTAGAAATTAAAGATTTTATAAAGCGAATGGTTATTTGGCGGGGGAACAAAGCTTTCATTTTCACATGAGTTCTAAGTGATGATTATCCCACTCCCCAGTTTGACTTCATGTTACAAACATGGAAGCATCATAATAGACGAATTGATTATGCCTACATAAGAAAGTCCCACAAAAGCCCCAAAGTGTAATGTCCAGAGAACTTCCAGGCTCAGGACACATCCATGTACCAGGAGGGGGATGCACCCAGTGCCATGGGGCAGAAACTCCTACCCTCCCCTGTGTATCTCTTCATCTGGCTGTTCATCTATGTCTTTTTATTGTAGCCTTTAATAAACTGGTAAATGTAAGTGCTTCCCTGAATCCTGTGACCTGCCAGAGCAAATTGTTCAAACCCATGGAGGGGGTTATTGGAACCTCGGATCTACAGTGGGTTGACCAGAAGCACAGGTGGCCACCTGAAGTGGTGACCTGGTGCTCTCTCCCAGAGGATGAACTCAGAACTGGGTTGAATTGTAGGACCCCAGTTGGCGTCATGGAAAATGCGTGGTGTCGAGAAAACCCCACACACATTTGGTAATGAGAGTTTTGCTTTGTGTGAGCAAAAAGGGAGGCACACAGGAGGAAAGGAAACAAACCCCAGGAGGAAGAGAAATGTGGGTTTTCTTCCCTTCATGATGGTATCATGCAACACCTTTGGATGAAACTTTATAATCGAGTGCTTAAACTTTGTTATGGCAAAAATACCTCAGATGAATGATTTTGTCTATGTTCACATATATATAACAGAGTGGCTAAAGAATGGGTGAGAAGTCAGCATGAAAGGTGTGTATTCACCTTTCATGTAGGAAAATAGCATGTAGAAAACAGGAAACGTTGCAGACCCATGATGGTACAGTCAATAGTGACAATTTCTAGTTTACCAGTCTTGAGAAGAAAATATTTTTCTTTGCAGTTTTCCCTAACATTTAATATTACTTTCCTTGAAATCATTTCTACTAACCACTGTCATGCTGAATCTCTCTTTTGAAGGTAATTACTTTAAGAGGTATAGTTCCCAAATAAGTTTTAAGCTATTTCAAAATACAATCAAATACTTTTTGTCTTGGGAACAAATGAAAATATTTGCTTTTTTTTCTTTTTTCTAAGAGCAAAGCAAGGCGCAGTAGAATATAACATGTATACATGAATAGTGAGTGAAAGTTGCTCAGTTGGGTCTGACTCTTTGAGATCCCATGGACTGTAGCCAACCAGGCTTCTCTGTCCATGGAATTCTTCGGTAAGAATATGGAAATAGGTTGCCATTTCCTTCTCTAATTAGGGGAGACAGGGGAGCTAATTATTTACTCTTTGAAGATTGCTCTTCCAGTTAAAATATTTAATTCACAATACTGAAAGGAAACCTGAAGTGCACCTCCTAAGTAATAATGATTTTTTAAAAACAAGCATTCATATATACAACAAAGTATAGAGCCCACGATAAAATGATAATACGTGATTTCTATAGATCTGCCAATTCATTTTTGAAAAGCGTTAAAACTTTCTTCAGTAATTTGTAAATGTCAGCAGAGTCGGATCTTTGTTCATTTATTCTTATATAAATTCAGTGCCCACTCTGTGCAGTCCCCATAGATACACCTTGAGGAAGATACATGAACGCATATGACGAATAGTGAAGGTGATAGGAGAAATAGTGGGTAAAAAGAGGGCACACCCAGAAATAGTGTGGAGCATGTAGGGATGGAGACAGGGTTGAAGAATACCTTGCAGAGGATATGGTCCATACTAGGTGACAGCCGGAGACTGAGTGTGAGGTGACCAAGAGTCAGGAATCAGTCAGGAGTGGGAGGCGAAGAGAGAAAGGTTTCAGTACAGTGACTAATATGTGAAGTCCCACAAAGAAAATAATTTGTCAAGTTCGAGGGTATAAAGCAGACTTTGTGTGGCTGATCAACAGCTTGTAAAAAAGGGAAGGGCAGGAGCTGGACAGCAGTGCCTGTGAGTCAGGGCTGGACATCCTGGTTTGCCCAGGACAGTCTGGTTTTTGCCAGACTGGTTCCAGTGTTATTAACAGCCTCCTTTTTAATTTTACTTGTTTCCTTATTTAGATGATATATTCTATGGACTTTCTAATTATGGGCTTGTTCAAAAGTTTGAATTTCATTCTAGGAGCAGTGGAAAGTCATTGGAGGGGTTTGAATAAATGACATCATCAGTCTTGAGTGTAGTATGCACAGCAGTTCCCTGGGGTGGAGGGGTGGTGGCAGGATGAGAGGAATGGGTCCGGAATGGAGGAAGCCAAGGTGGGAGCCTGTAGAAATAATTAGGGTGATACCTGATTGTGGTCCTAACAAAGAATGTGAAGGATGGAGGCAAGGGAGTGGGGGATGGGTGGAATTGGATGTAGCTTCAATACAAGGTGTTGGGACAGCTGCTTAATTATTTAAGGAAAATAAGGAAGAGGCCTACTAAAATGAAATCCAAATGTATTAAAGATGGAAGTATAAAAACTGAACCATAATCATGGGATAGAAGAAGAGCATTTGCAGCTTCAGGGACAGTTGGACACACACACACACATGAAAAGTTTTAAAAAAATTCATACATGAGGTTGGAAGAAATAACATCTTTATAAATGATTGATGATATTGCCTTTAATAAGATATGCTGGTTTATTTGTTGTTGTTCAGTTGCTAAGTCATTTCCAACTCTGCGACCCCATGGACTGCAGCACGCCAGGCTCCTCTGTCCTCCACTGGCTCCCAGAGTTTGCTCAGAGTGGTGTCCCTTGATTTGGTGATGCCGTCTAACCAACGCATCCTCTGCTGCTCCCTTCTCATTTTGCCTTCAGCCTTTCCCAGCATGAGGGTCTTTTTCTAGTGAGTTGGCTCTTTGCGTCAGGTGGCCAGAGTATTGGAGCTTCAGTAACAGTCTTTCCAATAGTCTACTACTTTGACTTTAGTTTTTACCTTTGACAAAGTGACTTGATAAAACGTTAAGAAATAAACAGAAAGCAATTTTGGATAATACATAATTGTGATTTGAATTTAAATTAGAAAATAGAAATCTCTATCTGTTGCTTTCCTAGTGAAGACCATTCATATGCTTAATGACTTTTTATTTCTTCTGTAAATCATGTGTTCATATACTTTTAGTGATAGTTCATCTTAACTGAC